GGGGAACAGAGAGGCCCACCATCAAATCATATTCTTATTTTAATCCGTTTGCTTTGTTTAATCTCGTTTTTGGCTCCATTATCAACACTTCGCAAGTTCATTGGCCATAAAACCCATGTTATATATATATATACACATTTCAGAACTAATGTCTCAAAGGCTGTCCTTTTTCTGGTATACAGATACACATATATACCTGTATGTACATCATCAACCACACATCCACAGAGAGAGAGAGAGAGAGAGAGAGAGAGAGAGAGAGAGAGAGAGATAGACGTACGCCAGGGAGGGTTGGAGTCGATGCAGTACTCAAGGTCTTGAAGCTGTTCCATAGGAGGATGGGTTATATCCGCCATGGCTGACGCAAAAAAAAACGTAGCTTCCTCGCTGATTCCGACAGCGAAAACAGGACGGAAGAAGAAGAAGAAGAAGAAGAATAGACGAACCCAGGAACAAAGTAAAGTAGAGATATAAAGTGAAGGCAAAAAAAAAAAAGGAGATGGCTCGAAGAAGGAAAAAAAAAGGAGGAAATAATTAAAAAAAAATTAAAAGAAAAAAGAATATGCAAAAGGCGAAGGCAGTGAATGAATGAATGAATGGGGAAAAGAAACCTTCTCTGTAACTTCTCTCTCTCTCTCATTCGCTTCGCGTTCCTTTGTTTTATTTATTTATTATTTATTTGAATTGGATGTGTATTGACGGTTTTACCCTTACATATTCACCTATTTATCGAATTAACCATCGGAAGGTGGGGTCCACGGAGTCACTTCCCAGTTTTTTGAAGCAGATGTGTTTCGCAGTCGCAGTGCATGTAATCTGATAAATCTTCCCGAAGATTGTATTCCAGATATGTTGTAGAATGACTGATTTACCCCTTCCCGGTTTTTGGAATTTCAAACAGAACGGAACCGTAATTTTTGGAACTAAAATTCGGAGAAAATCTATCGTTTTTGTTCGTACTTGAAGATTTGCATTTTCCCCAACACACAAATTATAATTAAACAATTAGAAATTGCTTAGCAAAAATTAATTGAAAAATCATTGGGTTATGTTCTTTATTTTTTTTTATTGTCAACATATAAACATATAATTTTTTGTTAAGGTTTTTTTTAGTTACATATATAAAACTTACGCATTGAATATCGGGAAATTTGATATGTAGGTCAAAAGTTGTATATTAATTGAATAATAAGGAGCTTTATTTTTTATGTTAATGCGCAAGTTCATTATTATTATTATTATTACCAATATTTTCGAAAAACTAAAAAACAACTTTTCGTACTTGAATTTAATTAAAAAAAATGCATACAAAATCCCATGGGATATACATTAATGTCGGCGTGAAAAAAGATTAAAAAACCAAATCTTCAAAATTCACAATCTCCTTTTTCTTCACGTGAGATAGACATTAATGTTGGAGTGAAAAAAAAAAAACATCATTCGGAATCGGCATGCATATGTTTTTGTGTGTGTGTTGTAAAATTGCGTGTTATCTTTTTAAAAAGTTGTTATATTGTACTATTAATATATTATATTAGATATTATTATTATTGTAGGAGATCTATAGATATTTCGAAATAAAATGTAAAAGTAGGAAATGTGTTCATTAATGTTTGTGATTTTGACACGTACGTATATTTTTATTAATGGTTCTTTCACGTACGTATTTTTATTGATTTTTTTGTTTTCATTTTTAACCATCTGTAGTTGGAATTTTACTGGGGTAGATGTTTTGTTTCGGTTTTTCAAAACCGAATCGAATCGAACCGAAAAATACGATATTTTTTTCGATTTAAACCGTCTAAAATTTTCGACCGTTATTAATTTTAGAAAAACCGAATTTTCTGGAATTGAACCAAATCGAATTTAAAAAATATCGGAAAAAAATAAATTTTGTTTAAGAAAACCTAATTTTTTAAATAAAAATCGGAATTGAAGCGAACCGAATATAATATAATAACCGATTGATATAATATTTTTGTAAAACCGAACGGAACCATTTTCGATCCGAACCAAACCCCACACCTAAATTTTACTACACGAACACAACCATTCATGGATAAGTAATTGTTTTTCTGTTTTTAGCACCTTCAAGTTTGGTACATGTACTATTTTCTGTGATATTAATATTCTAGGATATCAATATATATAAGAAGTATAAAATGTAGTATTCATAAATGTCTGGGTATTTCGGCAAGTACGTTATTGTATTTATTAATTATTTGTTCCCGTACATATTTTTATAATCAGATTTTTACCCCACGAACACATCCATGATCCATTAATATAGAATAGAAGTAAATGTTTTTTGTTTTTAGCACACCTAAGTTTGTTTCATGTACTATTTCTTCTGTCATAGGATTTCTTCGTATGTATATATTTTTTAAATTGGGATTAATTACAAATTTGATTGAAAAAATATTTTGACTTTAAAACAAAATACACTTATTCACAATGATTGCAGTAAAAAAAAAATACTTAATTGGATTATACGGTTCATCTATACATATAAATTATAATTGTTAATTTGAATAAAATATATTAGAGGAGCGAAGAGACAAAATTACTATAAAAACCACTTTTTTCTTGGTATAAGATTTGATGGACACTTCTTTTCCTATCTATCATAAAGAAAATATAAGATTTAAATATAATTTTTTTTTATAAAAAAAAGTTAAAATGATGGAATCATCAATGCCTAAACTAGATTCAATTCTTGTAGTACGGTTTCATCATATTGACATTAATTTATTTTTTCTTATTTCATATATATATATACACACACACATATATATGCAACTAAATATTGGTGCGAGAGTTTTTTTGGACTTCATACTAAATAACATAACGTCCACGAAGAGCATTGGGAATTTTAAAAAAAGGTGTTTGATTTATAGGATGTGGTCCAACTGCAAATTTTTGGACAGTAAATTGCAATAATAATTGCTCTTCGTTAGGCCAATATATAACTTTCAATTAAATTATTCTTAACATTATATTCAATTGTTTTCATTTCTATATTTTAATTGATTCTCATGGTCTCTATCCTTTCCCCTACAGATATTAATGTTATCTGATTTTCTAAATTCAAATTAACGTAGTAGTTTATCCATCACCATGAGAAATTTGAAATTTCTTTGCATTGGATGGGATGAAAATCAAATACAAAACTTGGTTTTTTTATTATTATAAAATATTGAATCGTAGTGATACACCTTGAGAACAATCGATCATATATATATATGAAAAAACTAATATGTAAAAGGTCCGATTTACATTACAGAAAAAGTGGTATTATTTATTTATTTTCTCTATGGTTAAATAGTACAACATGATGGATATAAAAGTTATTTTTTTAGCAATATTACATGTGTAATATCTAGTCATTCTTTTCTCATGATATTAGGTCAAAGCTAATATGTTGAGGTCCCTTTTATGAATAATAAGAGAAAATAACAAACAAAAACAAAAGAATAACCCACCAAAATAACTTGTAAGAAAATGCAAAAATGTTTTTTTATACTTTTTTATCTGAATATTATTAAAATGAGACAAGTGATTTATATCTATAAAAATATCATAAAAATTAACTATACATAAAAAACATAGTGTATTAAATTAAAATAATAATAATAATAAAACTGTTCCTCTTAAAAACAAATATAATAAACAGAAAAGATTATGGTATATATATATATTGTGGCAGAGTGGGTAGGATAGGTCAGTAAATGTAAGTGGAGCAGTGTGATTTGTTGAAATAATTATGGCTTCATAGTACAAAGGCATTCATTGGAACAACTTATCATACAAAAAAATATTAGAGCATACCCTTTCACTTTTGTCAAATCAGTTTTAAGGAAATTTAGGATATTTCATTCTTTTATATATATATATATAATTATTTTTTATAAAAAAAATGTGGAACTTTGCAGAGGGATTACAAGATTAGAGCCAAAAACAAAATTTAGAAAATTTTTAAAATCAGAAAAAAAAATGAAAAAAAATATATAAAAAAGAGAAACTAAAAGAATCTTGAAATCCCTGGATAAATCGAATCATGAGCATAATATTACAAAACGTTTGTGTTCTTAATGATGAACTATTAATTAAGTTAATTAAAATTTGAAAAAAAATACGAGGTAATAAAAAAAGAAAAGTAGAAGCAGCAGAAGGCAACCTTTTTTTCCCTGTGGCGGAAAGCAAATCTAATAAGGGAATAACTTGAGAAGAAAAACAATCTCCAATCTTCCAAATTTCAGCTTTTTTTTTTCTTCACTATTTTTTTTTTCCGGTTCTAAATTAATAAGTTAATGACCTGTTTTTTCTGCAATTAAATTTATATACTAGAAAGAAAAAAAAAGATTATTTTTTTAATTGTAAAGTGTGGAGAAAAAGGAATTTATTTGTAATGACAAAATAAACCAACTTTACTCCCTCTGCACTGCTAAAGATTCCGACAAATGTCTTCTTTTTAAGGGAATAAATGCAAAACAAAAAAACATCTCCCATGACTTTTTGCAACTTTCTTTCTATATAAAAAAATGTGTCCCTTAGATTTCTTTTTTTTTTAAAAAAAACTTATGACTGATAGTCCTTTTCCTTTGAAATGTGCAAATCCAAGAAAGATGAAAACTACATAATTTCATAATCATAAATGGTTATTATTTTTCTCCAACAAAAAAAAAACCCAACATCTCAGCTTCTTACAACTGAGAAAACACCAAGAACCCAAGTGCGGATTTGAGTGTTCTTAGTAGCTCTTGCAAATGGCAAAAAACAAAAACCTGTGTTCTTATTTTTGCTGGAGATCAATCATCGTCTTCTGACAGAACTCATCTGTCTTTAAACAGCAAAAAAAAAAGGCGAAAAATGGCAGGGGATACACTCTTATTAACTTCTCTTTGTGGATTTTTGCATCTATTGCTTGCTCAAGTTCCTGATGACATATGGAAGGATACCTCCATGGTTGTAGTATGCCAATTCCACCTGAATTCCCACAAACACCAGTGGCCACACCATTTATTAACACTGAGGAAAGATATGATACTTTTACGGCTCTGGAATGGGATGAAAAAAGGAAGATGCTTTTACCTCGGTGTCGAATCTGACAGTGCAGGTGAAAGATTTCCCGTTGTCAGTAGTGACGGTAACGTCTTGGCCGGGTCTTATCTCCAAGATATTGGTCGGGAGATGGATGGTGTAACGCTCGTGACCAGTCAATCCAAGCGTATCTGCGTCTTCTCCGGCCTTGAAGCAGAGCGGAACGATGCCCATTCCCACCAAGTTGCTCCTGTGAATTCTCTCGAAACTCTTTGCAATCACCGCTTTAACGCCCTGTAATAACGGATTCGTCTCAGAGGAGAAAACAGGTTATGAAAATAAGACGGGTTCGGAGAAGGAGAGATCAGTTTGCTCAGTCGGACCTGTAACATGGGACCCTTTGCAGCCCAATCACGGGAGCTACCACTTCCATACTCGGCTCCAGCCAGAATAACGGTATCTTGACCCGCTGATTTGTACCTCTGAGACGACAGGTATTAGACAGGATCAGTTCATATTTCAACAGCAAACGTTAACAAGTATAACTAGAAATACTAACCATGGCTGCATCATAGACCGAGAGCTTCTCCCCGGTAGGAATGTGGATTGTCTTAGGGCCAACTTCTCCGTTCAAGAGCTTGTTAACAAGTCGAATGTTGGCAAAAGTTCCTCGAGCCATTATCTCGTCATTTCCACGACGACTTCCGTAGGAGTTGAAGTCCTTACGCTCAACCCCACGCTCTAATAGAAACTTCGCTGCAGGACTGTCCTTGTGGATGCTTCCAGCTGGAGAAATGTGATCAGTAGTGATACTGTCACCAAAGTTCAATAAGCAGTATGCATCTTTCACACTGTGTGGCCCAGGAGGATCCATGGTCATGCCCTTGAAGTAAGGAGGCTCATGAATGTAGGTCGAGTTAGGGTCCCATGAGTAAAGGCTATTAGCGGGAACCGAAAGCTGATTCCACATGGGATTACCCTTGGTGATCGATTCATACGTAGCTCGGAACATGTCAGGCAGAACACTGGATTGAACAACCTGATCCAAATGGGAAAGACCAAATTTAATCTCATGAACGAAACGAGGGCAAGTCACTGTATGGCTGTAAGTTTGTATATACCTCAGCAATTTCCTCTGTTGATGGCCAGATATCCCTGAGGAAGACATTCTTTCCATCCTTGCCCGTGCCAATCGGTTCGTTGTTAAAGTCAATGTCGACCTGGGCAATAACAAAATGTTAGCTTCCAATACGATGGATCATTAGAAACGAAAATACAGTTTCAGAGTTGACAAGTTCACTAAATTTGAGTACCGTTCCAGCAAGAGCATAGGCAACTACTAAAGGAGGAGAAGCGAGGTAGTTGGCTCTTGTTAACGGATGAACACGCCCCTCAAAGTTTCTGTTACCAGAAAGCACAGCCGCAGCAACAATGTCTAGCAATAAAAAATGCAGCATTAAAAATTAGCAGATGGAACCTTTTACTGCTAGTCACAGAAATCACATAGGCAAAGATATGGCAGAAAGATCCAGCAAAGTGTAATTTTGAATCTCGAAAAAATACCGTTTTCTGAAATAGCAGCCCCAACTGATTCATTGATTTCTCCGGAGTTCCCGATGCAAGTAGTGCAACCATAACCAACGATATGGAAACCTTGCTCGTTCAAGTATTCTTGCAGGCCACTGTTCCAGCCATAGTAAATGAGTACTAGATTTCTCCCCACAAAACCAGATAAGTAAGAATTTGAACTATATATAGACATACCTCTTTGCCAAGTATTTCGTAACGACGCCTGAACCTGGGGCAAGACTTGTCTTTATCCAAGGCTTAACCTAGAGAGCCACAGATTTAAAAAAATCAGAAAAAATTGAAAGCCATTACAGTAGATCTATCTTGGTCTCGCGCAAGAGTTGCTTTATAGAGTCAAGAATCGAAACAATTAACTAACCTTGAGGCCAAGTTCACAGGCCTTCTTTGCAACAAGACCAGCACCAAGCATGACACTAGGGTTTGATGTGTTCGTACAACTTGTGATTGCAGCAATCACCACACTGCCATGCTTAAGCTCTGCTGGTTGTCCATCGAAAGAAAACTTGGCAACTTTGTCTTGTGCCTCTTTAGGGATTGCAAAACCCTGAGAAAAATTACCGAGAAATAGCATAATTAGCGCAGACCATTGATAGATAACGGGAACTTTAGCAGGAGTCTCCATAGCCAGTGTGTCAAGTCAAGCATTAGATGAGAAAGAAAAGAAACTAAAAAACTATGAAAAAAGGCTTTGATTAATTCATTACCTTGAAGCCAACTGTATTGTCGAGACATGAATGCCAGTCTGCTTTCATTTCTTTCAGAGGAACACGGTCATGTGGCCTGCCAAAAGAAGAAAAACCATGAGTATCATCGTAGTGGTGAATATATCACATAAAAAAATGCCTACAGAAGACAACAGAATTCGTACCTCTTTGGTCCAGAAATACACGGTTCAACTCCTGACAGATCCAGTTCCAGATACGACGAGTAAACCCGCTCTTGTTGTGGCTGAACTCAATCACAGAGTAAGAGAAGTCAAGTTAAGAACATAAAGATTAAACCCGGCCCGAGACACGAAAAGGAGAACTGATATACCTCATTGTAGTCAACAAACATCTTATTTGCCCGGAGATATGATTCAATCATGGAAACCTATATCCATAAAATTTAGTCAGGCCAACTTTCTTGTAACATACAACATGAGAATCACAGTGTGGAACACTCACCGTCTCATCACTTCTTCCGGTCAATTTGAGATACTGAAGAGTAACATGATCAACGGGGAAGAAACCCATGGTTGCCCCATACTCAGGGGACATATTGGCAATGGTGGCCCTGTCAGCCAAGGACAGTTCACTCATACCGTCACCTAAAGAAGAAAGAAAAGCCTTAGCTTGATGTCTCTGAGGGAAATAATGCCAATTGAAAAGAAGAGGAACTTTTAAGTTCAGTTCAGGTAAAGAACATTACCATAAAACTCGACAAACTTTCCAACAACACCATGTTTCCTCAGGATTTGAGTGACGGTTAAGACCAAGTCAGTAGCAGTAACACCATCACGTAATTTTCCAGACAGCTTAAAACCAACAACTCCAGGCAACACCAAAATTTAGTCAGGCCAACTTTCTTGTAACATACAACATGAGAATCACAGTGTGGAACACTCACCGTCTCATCACTTCTTCCGGTCAATTTGAGATACTGAAGAGTAACATGATCAACGGGGAAGAAACCCATGGTTGCCCCATACTCAGGGGACATATTGGCAATGGTGGCCCTGTCAGCCAAGGACAGTTCACTCATACCGTCACCTAAAGAAGAAAGAAAAGCCTTAGCTTGATGTCTCTGAGGGAAATAATGCCAATTGAAAAGAAGAGGAACTTTTAAGTTCAGTTCAGGTAAAGAACATTACCATAAAACTCGACAAACTTTCCAACAACACCATGTTTCCTCAGGATTTGAGTGACGGTTAAGACCAAGTCAGTAGCAGTAACACCATCACGTAATTTTCCAGACAGCTTAAAACCAACAACTCCAGGCAACAGAAAAAAAAAAAAAAAAAAAAAAAAAAAAAAAAAAAAAAAAAAAAAAACTTGGCATTAGAACTTAGAAGCAAATCTGGGGAAAATACCAAATATGCGTTTATCTGAATCCCTGCCGCATGGTGTTATCTAAGAAACATAATATAAATCCAGTAAATTAAGCCTCCAGATTTGCCAAATTAAGAAGTGGTAGAGTAAAAAAGTGATTTTTTTTTTCACTTTGGTGTATCTCATTGAAGTACCTGGCCAAGCATTGCTGCCTCAGCTTCAATACCTCCAACTCCCCATCCAGCAACTCCCAACCCATCAATCATAGTTGTATGCGAATCAGTTCCAACCACACTGTCTGGGTAGAGAAGGCCTTTGGTGTTGAACACAACTCGCCCAAGATACTCCAAATTGACCTGAATTTTCAATGTGACGGATTAGATAGACACCAAACTAGAGCCAAAGCTTCAAAATACTTAAAGATGAACAAGAAAAGGTAAACTAAACATGAAGCCTTCAAGTTGAAAGGGATTCAGATCAGGTAAGCTGATAAACACAACATAGAATAGCCTCTGAAGCAAATTACCTGATGCACAATACCAGAACCAGGGGGCACAACGAGCATGTTCTGGAAAGCAGTAGAACCCCATTTAAGGAAAGCAAATCTCTCCTTGTTCCTCTGGAACTCGAGTTCCATGTTGGCTTGCACGGCATTCTCAGATCTTGTTACATCGACTTGAACTGAATGATCAATGACAAGATCCACGGGAACCTGCAAGCATGAACCATGTAAGAAAACCGAAACGCCTAAGGTAAACAGACACATGAGCAGAACATGAAGTTTACCAAGGGATTGATCTTGTTGGAGTCACTGCCCAGATTGTTCATGGCATCACGCATACAAGCAAGGTCAACAACAGCTGGGACTCCAGTAAAGTCCTGCAAAAAAAGTTGAAATAGGGTTAACAAGGGGGAAAAAAAACCTACCACAACCCATTGTCTAGATTCAGACCAGGACATACCTGCAAAAGCACACGTGCGGGCTTAAATGGGATCTCGACTTGTTTGGGAGCTGTGTTTTCCCAGTCGATGATCTTCTCGACATCTTCCTTAGTGACTTGGAAGTTGTCACAATTACGAATTGCAGATTCGAGAAGTATTCTGATGGAGTAAGGAAGCTTATCTGCAACATAAACAAAGGAAATATAAACAAGAAGCTTTCTTGGCCCTTGAAAATACATTTCTCTATACTCCAAATGGTCTCCAGAGATATTAGCAGATACAATCCCGAAAACGCAAATTCTAATCATTTCCAAAATTGGGAGCAGGGCCATGAGGAATCGGACAAATCATATCCTAACATGCACTCCAGATATTTCTGCTTCAATTCTGACCGAACAGATGGTTACAAAAACGTATCTAAAAGCTATAGCTTTTGTCTGACCCATCAACAGATTACAAATAGTGAACGAATTCAGACTCTATGAAGAAAAAACCCTAATGGCATTACCAATCCGTGGATCATTCAAAGCAGGTAAGCTGTAGAACTTCCCAAACTCGCCACCACCAGGCTTAGGAAGACTGGTGAAGATTCCCTTGAATGGATGCTCCGCTGCTTAAACAAAACACAGACAAAGAAACGAAATCAACCCACCGGAAAAAAATTCTTATAGCCTCCATTTTCTCATCGAGATCACAGAAAACAAATCGCGACGACCAAAGTAAGGAAAACCCATTTCAAGGAATCAACAACGACCCATGATTTACCCATCGTAGAGAACGTCTTCTCGAGTCGCTCAAGGACGGGAGAAACGGCTCTGATCTGAGGTCCGACACGAAGCGGAATCGATCTACGGTGAAGGCAGTGACTCCACCGAGGCAGTGACCGGAAACCAGGGGACGCGCCGAACGATCGGCGTCCGAGGAAAGACGCCGCCGGAGAAGATCCGACGAAGTGGGTCGACGGAGAAGAAGGCGACAACAAGGATCGGAGAGAAGAGAACCCAGAGCGCGAAGAAGAAGAAACAGCTCTGAGGATGGAGGATGTGGCGGTAGAAGAGGCTGTTATATACATGATGACAAATCAAGCTTTCACGCACACAGAGACAGAAAGAGAGAGAGATGAAGAAGATAAGGATAACAATTATGGAAGAGATTTCAGAAGAGGACGCTCATGGAGATGAGAAGGAATCTGACGTATGGGGGATGATGGAGAAGGAGGCGCGTGGAGACGAGACGATGGCCTAGGTCTGAGTGCCCAAAATGGGTTCTTTTTCTGTTTTTTTATTTAATTTTTAATCGCAGCCGTGTGGGCCCCACTAATATCGGACTTTTTAAGCTGTATTATTACTGTTTCTTTATTATTATTATTATTATTATTATTATTATTATTATTATTATTACCATTATTATTATTATCTTTTAAATTGCGTCATCGTCCGGTTTTATTTAATGTTTTTTAAACCGGGGAGAACGTGGAACCGATTTAGTTACCTACAAGTTGCCGGTTTTACCGGTCTGACCGGATGAGCGTACCTTTTTTTTTCATTTTTTAAAGGGTTGTTTAACATATTATATTTATACAATTGACTTCCAAGTTATAAAATTTATCATCTTAATACATAAATGACCAAAAATATACTGTAATTACGATTTTTGTCCTATTAAATACTAATTGCATTAAAAAAAGGTAAGGGAGTACCTTTTTGCAAATTATTGACTAAAAAGGTAAGGAAATACTAATTGCATTAAAAAAAAGGTAAGGATATATATTTCGCGTTAAAAATTTTAGGCAATAATTTGCAATTTCTAGATTTTTTTGGATATTTATGTGGTTTGAACTTTCAAATAAATAGAGAGGATCTAAAATGGTTCTGTGACAGTTACGGGCTTTGGCACCAAGTCATATAAATATAGGCCATAATTATGGTTTTAGTGTTTATGCAATATTCAAATCAAATAATAAATAATAATATTTAAATTTTATTTGATAAAGTTGGACTTAATATGTTTTTAAATATTAATTCAATACAATTTAATTAAAGTACATACTTTTTTAAATAAAACTAAATATGATTAGAAATAAGCCACAAATTAATATAAAAATAAACCTTATCAAAAGAATATAAAAATAAATTTAGAAAAACTCCCATCTATAAAATCTTCTTATCTTATCCCAAAAATAATTCATTTTTTTTTTCGGATGAAAAGTGAAAAAAGATAATAAGACATATTTTTGTTTTTTGTTTGAAACGAGTTTTTTTATTCCTCTTTTCCGTATTTGAATAGTTTTAGTAAAATGAAATAAATAATTAGCTAAAAATGGATTTAAAAAAAAAAAGGGCATATGCCATATATAGAAGATGCTACATCTTTTATTTGCTATTGGTTAAATACGATAATTAACACAATTTTCGGCGATTAAAATTAGGGGTGTTAATCGGGCCGGCCCGATCCGACCCGGCCCAAGCCCGCACTCGGTCCGGAAGTTTCGGGCTCGGGCTCGGGCTCGGGCCGGCCCGATTTTTTTTGGGTTTATATACTTAAGCCCGAAGCCCGGCCCTATGCACTCCGGACTCGGGTCGGGTCGGGCCGGGCCGGGCCGACCCGCGAATTTTCTTTGTAAATGTTATTTTTTTTTCTTTTTTTTTTTAAATTTTCGGGCTTTCGGGCCGGCCCGATTCGAGTCCGAAGCCCGATTTGAGCCCGGCCCGAAAGCCCGATTTTTTCGGGCCAAGAAATTCCGACCCGAAGTCCGCTATTTTTCGGGCTGGGCCGGGCTTCGGGCCTCGGGCCCAAATTGACACCCCTAATTAAAATCAATGTTTTCAGTTTCATTTATTTTTTTTAAATTAAGCAAAAGAGGAATTAAAAAGCCAATTTTAAAATTTTTATTTTCCATCTGTTCTCCTAATACCTTAATAAGTAAAAACAGAGCACATGATCGGAATCTTTTTAACTTTTTAACAACAAAAGCAGCACAAAATCAACATCAAATCTTACATGTATTAACATCTATGATCCACCAAAAACAAGACTACTACTTTTATTTGTACCAAAAGTAACACTCAACTTATAGATAAAATAAGACAAAAGTAAAAAAATACCGAACTTTTAAAATTATCCAAAATAATATCTAAACTATTGGACGAATATCAAATTAATCAATCGATTTGGCATGGTATACGAAATGACTGATCTGGATGCGACGTGAAAATATTTTTACGCCACATCTGAACTTTCGTACGTCACATCGATTGTTTAATTTGATATTCGTCTAATAGTTCAGATATTATTTTGGATAATTTAAAAAATTTAATGTCTTTTTCTAAAAAATAAAAGTTAAAAGTATTTTTTTTATCAAAATAAAAAATTCAGTTTTTTTCAAAATTTTTAATTATAATAATGATGACGGTGATTTCTTTTGTTTGAAAATTTGGAAAGAATCGAAATAAATAAAATTTAATTCTAATTCGATGTATTTTTTATAGAATCTAATAAATCTTTGTTGAACCGAATTCGATAAATATAAAATGGAATTAGAATATGATACAAATCAAAACCTGAATTATATGATTTTATATACAAGTATATGAGTAAATATCAATTTTTGTTTCTTATTTGATATTCATAACAAAACCGTTAAAAAATGAATCGATATTAAAACTAAATCCAATCGAATCAATTAACATTCACTTCTAAATTTATACAATTTATATCAAAATGAATACATAGTTCCCAGTCAAATCCGATAAATATAGAGCATGTCACCCCTAATAATAATAATAACAACAACAACAATAATAATAATAATAATAATTCATGGAACTCAACATATCGCATCTCATTATATTTATATTTATATTGTTCCATACCCTCATTATTTATTATTGAGAAATTATAAAAATAATACCCAAATTTGTTAAATTTTCCAAAATAAAATCTGAATTAATTCTTTTGTCAAATAAATCTCAAATTTTAATTTTATTATGTAAATAAACTCGAACTTTCAAAATCATATCATATTTAACTCTCATATTGATATAACATTTCGAACGATGGCTTTTTATTTTAACAAATATATATATATGTACGTATATATTATTTTGACAATACACATATATGTAAATATATATATATATGTATATATTATTTTGATTTTTGACAAATTTAAATATTATTTTCTAATCTCCATTTGTTATTTGTTAAGTGCTTCACTTCGCGAGAAAATCAGTATATATAGTTGTAGTATGGGAGGTTTTATTGTAATTCCTTTAGTCTTGAGGGTGAATCTACAAAGAAATAAAACGTATGGGATTTATTCATAAAATAAAGCAAAATTGGTCTTCAATGATAAATACGGAAATTTTCTCGTACTCAAAAACAATAAGTGCGGTCCGATTAGATACTTGCCTTTTTCGTAGAGTGCAATTTACATCCTTTTCGCTTCGCTTTTCGTCCTTCTCTTCGAGCAATCGGCAAGCGATTCCTCTTTTTATCATCCCAATCGGCCTTCGAATTCGATCATCCAGTTTTGTTCTTCTTCCTTGTTGTTCAATTGCAGCGAAATTTATCAACCATGGTGATCAGTTCTTTCAAGCAGGAGCATGCCCTCGGTTCGTTTCTACTTTTTCCCTCGCGCATGCTTTCCTCGTTTTTGATTTAGCCCTGGATCATAGTATTTCCGTTGTTATTTGTTGTTTGATCGGTGGGTTTTATGCTTTCGGAGGATAATCGAGGAACTGGGATGTGAAAATCGTGGAAATTTCAGAATTCTGGTTTTAGGGTTTTGTAATTGACAGCAATTGGGTTTGATACGGATCTATGCTTCGTTTAAGATGGCGCTATGCACTTTGGAACGCGGGAAATAAATATGGATTTGAAGAGTTAATCGTTTGGTTTCCTTATTTAGTTGATGATTTCACTGGGGAAATAAGGGATTAATGGGCTAATCCGAGAATGCTAAACCTATCTTGTTCAAAACTCTGCTGTTTGGGCTTTTGGTTAGGTTTCCGTTTGCAATGCCATGATCTCTTCTCGAGAAAGGTTTTTCCCATGGAAACTTGAGAAGTTGTTCCATTGAATTCACAGTTTGTGCTGTTGCTTTTGCTGCTCTATGTTTCAGAAAGGAGGCAAGCTGAAGCGGCTCGTATCAGGGAGAAGTATCCCGACAGAATTCCGGTATGAACACTCATTGATTCTTTATGTTATTTCAAACGAAATTCACACCCCTTCTCATTGAGTTTTTTTTTCGGGTTTCCCCCCCGCAGGTCATCGTCGAAAGAGCCGAGAAGAGTGACGTGCCAGATATTGATAAAAAGAAGTGAGTTATATATGGCTGTCCTTTAGATAACCGTTTCTTATGATGAATTGTTTTCAGGACAATGAGAATGTACCCTGGCAAATTCTTATTCTGATAATTCGTGGCTAAGGGTTCTGCCTCCTGTTTCTTTTTGATGTTTGCCTTTTTAATATCTCTAGTTTGACTGTTTTATCGGAGAACTTTCAGGTACTTGGTCCCGGCTGATCTGACAGTTGGCCAATTCGTTTACGTTGTCCGGAAACGGATCAAGCTCAGTCCCGAGAAGGCGATCTTCATTTTCGTCAAAAACATTCTTCCACCTACTGGTGTTTCTCTCATTGATCCCTTCACTTCCTCGATTTACTTTTTTTCTTCCATCTCAACTATTGCTTATGTGTTTCAGTGCTTGGCTAAATGCTATCAATATATATATCTCCATTGCAGCGGCGATGATGTCAGCTATTTACGAGGAGCACAAAGACGAAGATGGATTCCTGTACATGACCTACAGTGGTGAAAACACGTTCGGGATCTTCTGATGCAAATCGGCCTTTACCCGATGGTATCAATGTGGATACCGCCCAAGACTCCGGTTATGAATTCTGATTTAGATGTACATTCTCTCTCTCTCTCTCTCTCTCTCTCTCTCTCTCTCTCTCTCTCTTTCTCCTTAGAGACTTTCTTGGCATCTTTGTTGAAGCTATGATGCTATGGATGAAGATGAAAGACTCTCTCTCTTTCGCTCTCTCCATTCAGTTTATTTGAACTTGGACTAAAAAAGTATGCGTCTGCTTGAAAGTTTGAAGCTTTGGCGGCCATTGATCATGGTTTCTTTTGATTTCTGTGCAAAGGAACATGGGAATGGAAAAGTGAAACTTGCAGGAATTTGGATTCGAATATGTTACTTTGTATTTGGTGTTGCTTTTTCAAGGACAAAGTTCACAATTTAGGATTGATATCAACATCATCAGCAGTAACGTGAAAGGAATTTCAGAAATTGAGAAATTTAGAAAAAGCTAAAGAATTTAAAAAGAATCATCCTTTAAAAATTGCCATCCTTTTGTCTTTACAGATTGGAACTAATTTGGGGTTTTGATTGATTTTTTCTTTGTTGAAAAACAATTATGGGTAACGCGAAAGTTCGAATCTTTACGGTGTAAATTGATGGTGTATTTATTTGAACGCACAATGCTTAGGATGATTAATATTCTCTTTTAAAAATCAATTTTAATAGTCAATGTTATCTCTTGCAATTTGAATATATATAGCTTATAAATCGAATTTTATTTTCTTTTTTCATGAATGAAACAACGTTAAATTTTAAAATCAGGAAAAACCCAAATTCAACACGAAATCCGAACAAAAAAAATCACTAATTTTTGTAATTAAACAATTGGGATTTACAAAAATGATACGCCATTATTGTTCACTCGCTCGCTCGGGAATCCTGGTCCATTATTTTATTGTCATAAAAACAATTACGCAACTCTTTTATTTATTTATTTATTATTTTTACAAACGAGGAGAGAGCCATGACTCAACGGTGGAGAATGGATGATCCCAGAGACCGTACCACTGTAATCGAAGCAGAGGATAATATCCCAACCAATGGGAATTGAAAGAACTCACGCATTACAAAAAAAAAAAAAAAAAAAAAACAAGGCCAGAATCTAATTTGTGGCTTTCCTTCGTCCATCAAAGCCAAAAATCTTCCTTCCACATCTACCACGGGACAAAACCCACCACAAAAACACAGAGATAAACTCACAAACTCGGTCTTTTCTGACCAAAAGAAAGATCAAAGATCATCCAATCTCGTACCTGAATTGTGTTTCTGAAGCAAGAGAGAAAAAAAGGAAGTTCCTTTCCAATGGCCGCTTCGGTTTCTGCAAGTGGGTATAAAGGAGGCTTGCTCGGGACTTCCTTCCATGGAAGTTGGGGAAGCTCCATGGCCGCCGGTGAGGATTACCATTACTTGGCGGGAAAGGCAGCAGTGGGGCCGAGCCACGTTAGGGTTTCACGCAAGGCCATCAGGGTTCAACCCGTGATGAAGAACGTCAACGAGGGCAAGGGCGTGTTCGCGCCTCTCGTTGTTGTGACGAGGAACATCGTCGGGAAGAAGAGGTTCAACCAGCTCAGGGGAAAGGCCATTGCCTTGCACTCTCAGGTAAACATAACACAAACACAACTCTGTTCAGTGTCTCTGTCTCTCTCAGACATAAGTTCCAAAGGTTTGGGGGGAACAAAGCTAGTGATAGGTCTGGTTCCCAAAGGATCAAGATTCGATGGCAATTATTACCTGTAAGCTTATATACTATAGAGGTCGTTGTCAGGACAAGTCATGGCTTCCAAAATGCAGGCCTGCTTCTGAAACAATGAAAGAACACTGTTAGTTAGCTTGTGTTGAGATAAAGCTGTGTTCTTGCTTCCATCTTACTCAGGTCATTACCGAGTTCTGCAAATCGATAGGAGCGGACGCGAAACAGAGACAAGGGCTGATTCGGCTGGCGAAGAAGAATGGCGAGAGGCTGGGGTTTCTGGCCTGAGAGCAATGACCACTTCTGTAGACAGAATCTGTTACAAATTCAGGATAGTGAGGTTCTGATGCTTGAACACTTTCATCTGGATGTGTCCGTGAACCACCATAGAAATACCCCTGCCATTACATTATGTTCTTGTCCGAATCTGCATTTCTAGCTCTGTATTATTTCATTCAGGATACTGAAATAATGAAAACAAAAAACGAAAAACGCTGCCTTTTATAACGATTCATCACTGGAAAGGTTCTCATCAAAAGGGACCAATACTGTAGAGTTATACAACAAAAACAACTTCCGGATAAAAAAAAACGTCTTCAGGTATTTGGTTCTTGAACAGACAAGGCATGAAAAAGGTTGTATGTATGTCTTCCTCGAGTGTATATAGCCTCAGATCTTGCACGGATGAAGTACAGTGTGCAACCAACCACCGAGCTTTCAAACAGTGTACCGACCTCTTACCGATCTATCCTTTCTAGAATCATCCTGAATTCGGACCAAGAATGAGACGAAAGACAGATAAGCCACACGGAAAGGGCAAGATCAACAAAGAAGAACGTTTCAGATCAAATGAAAAATTTACATGGTAGCTGTAAGTAATCTTGTCAGTGACATTGAGTATCTCCTTCCACTTCTTCCCAATGCTCATCTGTGTATGACATATGACAATTTGCATCAGCAAGAAAAAAATGAAAGGAAAATAATCAGCATCCTTCTCTGGAGATGGCCTCGACTTAGTATAGCTATCCATTAAAATGCCATCTCATAATGTAAGCTAAATCTCTAATTTCTAGCCTCATGCTCAACCTAGCGGATCATATCCTCAAGTTTCATATTCCAGTAAAGATTGCATCTTTTTGTTGCCTCAAGTACTAGCAATCAAAATCGGTATAGCCCTCATGGCCCAAATACAGCTAAGAACTCTAATACATAAGATACATCATTGAGTCAAAACCAGTTCAGTATGATGACATACAAGTTCTAAATACAAGCCAACAGCAAAGTTAACTGCCTTATTGTGAATTTCTTAAACATACTCCGAGACTTATCGTGATTGCGTGTGCAATTTTATTATTGTATTGTAGATCCACGGACAGCAGGATATACCTCATTGTAGTCAACAAACATCTTATTTGCCCGGAGATATGATTCAATCATGGAAACCTATATCCATAAAATTTAGTCAGGCCAACTTTCTTGTAACATACAACATGAGAATCACAGTGTGGAACACTCACCGTCTCATCACTTCTTCCGGTCAACAGGAATAACTAAATCAACAAACTTACGCTATGAGCATACATACAAAGGCACGTGAGAACAAAACAAATTTTAGTAAATAACTGGTTTACTGCTGGACATACCAAAAGCAAGATACTCATAATCAAAACTGAATCAAAGGATATTATGACAAATACCTAGGCTGAGAAAGAAAACACAAAATCTTAATTACCTGAGCAGCTTCATTAGTTGCTGTCTTTGTCCACAAGGATAATTTGTCTTGCCTTTGACGAACACTAGCAACCACACCGCAAATCTCATCCGACTCATCGAGTTGCTCTCCAATCAAAGCCATCAACTGCCAATCACGAGAGAAAGTAAGTATTCATCGGATGCCAAGAACAGTGGCAGAAAGTGCAAGTTCAAAAGCATCGAGAAAGGAGAAGGGTTGGAAAAAGGGATACAGTTTCGAGCCACATATCGTCTAGGGTTGACTTCCTAGTGGTGGAAACAGTCCATGTCCACTTTCCTCCGTTTGCACACTCGGGATCTTCCCATTTTGGTTCGATACCGGCCTTAAACAAGTGAAAGTCAGCGTTTGCTATCAATCTGCCCGGCTTGAATATGCTATCGTGCAAACTGCGGGAAAATCATCCGAAAGGAATTAGCTCATAGTCATAGCTAAATATCGTATATTTGGATTGTAGAGCTGAATCCCAAATAACAAATGTCACTGACATAGATCAGTGAGATCAAACTACAAGAATTTTCAGAAAATCTCGAAACTTTAACAACACCAAAAACCATCAAATACCCAAAAACATACGAATTGAAAGGAATTAGCAAACAATGATTGAAAAGATTTGTACTTTTGGATGTTTTACGTCAGATCCTAATGCTAAATCATGGACAACAATGCCAACCGAAAGAGGGTTTAGTCTTATAATCAACCGAACTGGAAAGATTCAGCGATTCTCACAGCTATAACATCATTCAAAGCGGGAGGTCCGTACAAATCAGTCAAGAACATCAGACAGAGATTCCAATCAGACAAGATCAATCAAGCGGACGAAACCCGATTCGCGGACAGAGATTCCGATCAACGAACAGGGACAACAAACAGCGACAAAGTTACCTCCAGAACTCTTCGACGGTGTCGAAGGTATAAACCTTGCGAAGGGTAGATCCCCAAGCCGCTCCCTGCTTGGGCTTGGATTGGTTGTCGTACCAGAAACTCCACTTCCTCTCGAGCTTGTGCGGCTGCTTCTCCGCCGCAACCTCGACCTCCGGAACCGGCGCCGCCTCCGGCGTATCGATCGCATCCTCCGTAGCCATTGTAGTGTGTGTTCTTCGATGTATTGTCGCTGTTTCGATGAGGAAAGAGACCAAACTGAGATCTCTGGTTCTTTGGGACAAAAGGGTCGAGGGTTTATAAGGGTTCCACAGTATTTATTTCTTTTTCTTATATTAATTTGGTCGACGATAAATATAAATAAACAGATAAATTCTATAAAATAGTAATACAAATTTTGCATTTATCACACTATTTAAAATATTTTTAATCTATTTATCAATTTTAAACTTTCTGAAAATTAGTGTTTTGTCAATACAAACGATGATTGTGATGAAAAAAGCTAATTAAATAATTTCCATGCATAATATCAATGGAATTTCGACAAAAAATATTACAAGAGATTCTTAAATATTTAAAGTAACATATAAGAAATGTGACGGAAAAGATTATAACTTTGGTTATTTTAGGGCAGAAAACAATTCAGTTTCATGCCTTTCATGATGCATCAGAATACATCAATTTCATCAATAATTTTTTAACGATTTGGTTAGTTCGAAGTGGATATTTAGAATTTCAATTTTATTTCCATTCATCTATCTATATATATATATATATATATATATAGCATATCGATCTCCAATTCATTTAAAATTTATTCAATTCGTTTAGAGTTTTGGTTTCGTTTCAAATTTTTTTATTATATTCGGTTGAAAGTAGATTTTTATGCTCATTTTTTTTATCAGCTTTATAATCAGTTTTGAAATATAATTCGATTCATAACCTATTCATATTAATTTTTCCATAACGTATAATTGTTTTCCATTTCAACCCAACTTTTTTTTGGTAAAAACATGAGATAAAAGGATAACAAGCAAAAAAATTGATTTGAATATATACACACACGCACACACATTTATATAAAATACATATTGGAAAATACATTCATAATAACCAGTTATTGCCAAAATCTAGTTTGAGTATATGGAAAAAGACTGTAGCTTTACAACAAAAAAAAGGATGAAAGCTGTAACTAAACTTATTATTATTATTTTTTTAAAAATATTTCCACCGTTAGTAAAAAATACAGGTTAGCATTCTCAAAAACACACAATATCAAAATGAAATGCCTTTTTTCCTCCACAGTTTCAAGAGATCAAATTAATTTTTTTTAAAACAGTAACAAATCAGCCATCATATTAAAAAAAAAAAGATATTTCTTCAAAGGGTCTTTTAAGATCTTGAAGATAGGTGGTACCTTGACGCATGAGCAAATCCCCAGAGCTGCATATTTCATATTCCGACAACATGAACAAAACCGGATAACAAACAACACTTGCTGTTCCAAGACAGAGGTTCTGTAACAAGGACACGAGATCGAAAGCTCGGGAATCTCACCTCGACGTTCTTTAGTTCAAACTCTCCGCTGCTGGCTAAGCATTCGTTCCCGAACGTCTCACATGATCCACTCGTACCCTTCAACCTTTTATAAATTTTTCGAGCAGAAAAGCTAAGTTTCAGTATTTTTACATTACAAAATGTGATAAAGGTGGAAACTTTAGAAATGGAATACAAAAAGTAATGTTAATGTTACTTACAGATCTTCATCTAACCACAATGCAAAGTTTCCACCGCCGCCAAACGCTAAAAACTCGTTCAAGCACATCCAGTAATACCGGTTTGCTCCTGCGGAAAAAAATTTCATAAGCACGTACTTGAAGCTCGATCTATCATGTCTCAAACATTGGTTCATCACAAGATATTTGGCCCTTCAATCATCAAATTTATATAACTATGTTTCTCTACTTTCCCCTAAACATGTGACTCTCGAGCTGATCATTTGAGTGGATGGAATTGAATACCACGGTTTGAGATAGAGGAAAGAAAAGAGTCTCCAAATTCTTACCAGTTGGCCTAAATACGCACGGGTTACCGTAAATGGTCGTGAACAAAAATGTCTGGTTTGTCCCCTATCACCAAAGCAACATGTTATAAATAAGATGATATGTTTCATGGAACAAAAAAATAAGGTATTGCATAAGGAAATAATCTCTTCTCTGCTAACAGAGAGACTAAAATAATAACTAATATCCAAGCTTTAATCCACCTGATATTTCCTCTTAGGTGTAGGCCTCAAAGGGCCTTCCAATAAACCGCCAAAAACTGCACCCGTCTTGTCTCCAGCAACCTGCACCATATTCAATAACCACAACTCGGTTTCTGCCGTGGCCTTTTTCAGAATTATCTGGTAACAAAGCTTATAAGATAATAGTAGTCAACAAACCAGCAGACAAGGGCCAGGAAGCTCTGCACTTCTGCGTAAAAGCGTGCGGAGTGATATGCCATGTTTCAACGTACTGCCCTTCATCCGAGGAAGCCAATACCGAAATGAGAAGTGCGAGAAGGCAAAGCTACCATCATCATCAATACTAGTTTCAGTAAACTTACCTGTATAACAAGACCCATTTGCATCCTTTGACGATGTTCGGAAGACTTGCCTCCAAAAATTCATACAAGTCGGCAGAAATAAAAGCAGTCTCATCTGTAAGATCAGGCATCTCTTTCACAGGAGTACAATGGCTGACAAAATCCCGAAAAGAACCAGTACCATTGTTGCTTCTCGCAGAAGCACCTAACTCAATATCCCCATTGTCAACTGTTTTCCTGTCTTCACCATTCGAGGTTTGGACTTGATATGTCTTTTGCTGATCACCATTACCAAGCCCACCATTCTTTCCGAAATCATAGCTGTTATGTTTAATGGGGAGTGGTGGACACAATTCAGAACTCTCATTTCTAGATCGAAGACTAGAAAAAGAGAAATATGAAGGCAATGCTTTTTCCGCACTAGAATTCAGCCTGGCCTACACATTCAAAAGCTCCATGACATAAAACGGCGGAGAGTAGAATATCCAATAGAATAAACGAAAGATATATCATACGTCCATGTACTTCACACACAAACACAAAACTTCACTCTTTTTACCAAATCGGCGATACAGCCTCATGTATATCACAAACGGATTCTTCCTAAACATTTCCGCATTATCCAAACTCATTTCTCAACGCATTTTCTCATGTGGATCAATCTATGCAAAACAACAAGTTTTACACATTTTGGTGAACTAAGCATAAACATGTTTTAGCTTGTCAATCTTTCCTATGGAAAGGGAATTCGATTCTAACGGGTAATGGCAGAAACCAGACTCTATATACCATAATCTTCAGACATATACAACCACGAAGATGCATGAATCTCTGACAACTAATATCGGCGAAAACTGATCATTCTAGCTGTCCGTAGACGGACAATTTGGAACTCACATGAACAGTTTCGAGTAAGAACCGAGAGAAACAACAAACGATAAAACAACATGAACATGGTACCAAAGAAGCTGTAATAACACAAAAGCAAAGCTCTCAACGAACAACAAGACACATGCTTAGAAAAAACGACATAGAAAATGCAATGTTACAAGTTTCCGATGATCAGAAACGCAGCTAAACAAAAAGCAAAAATCGATGAAAAGTTCAAAAGAAACAGTAAATTTCGAATCCAACTACGAAAGAGATCGAAACCCACAAGATAGAAAGGGCAAAAAAAAAAACAACGCGTGGAGCAAAAAAAACATGATTTTGCAAGAGAATTGGAACCGTTCATGCGGGAAACAAAACCTAAAAGCAAAATCAAGCTCAAAATTTTACCAATTCTGAAACAAAACTAAGAAACTACCTTGGGAGAATTGGAGACACCGAAGCGGGGAGAGGAAGATTGCTTCGGGGAATCACCGAAAAGATTCGACAGCTTCGCCGATACTTTGTCTTTCAGAGCATACATTGCAAATCAGAAGAACAAATTGCTCGGTAAAATTCCGAAGAATTAGATTGGATTGAAGTAAGATTATGTATGGAATCAGAGGCGAATCACGTCAAGAAGAGAGATCGACGAATTTGTCGGTGAAGGAAGAGAAAAAACCTAAAACAATATTCAGACAAATGTCAGGATTTATTATATATATATATATAATATTTTTTTTAGTAAAAATGATCGAATAATTTGCGAAAAAATGCCAACATTTTTTTGAAAACAATGTACCGATTAAAATAATATACTATATTGGATATAAATATTTCGTATTTCGTAGGTAGTTTCTTAATATAATAATTTTATTCTTAAAATTATATCATTAAAATAAATGATATACTATATTAGATATAAATATTTCATATTTTGTTGGTAGTTTCTTAATATAATAATTTTATTCTTAAAATTATATCATTAAAATAAATAATATACTATATTGAATATAAATATTTCATATTTCGTGGGTAGTTTCTTAATATAATAACTTTATTCTTAAAATTATATCATTTAAATAATATACTATATTGCATATAAATATTTCATATTTAATACGTAGTTTCTTAATATAATAACTTTATTCTTAAAATTTTGATATAATAAAAATTAGAATAAATAAAAAAAACCTTGTATTTTGTCTCAATTTAAATCTTGTATATATTTTTTATCCTAAAAATCTGTATAATTAGATTCTCTTCAAAAAATTCTTATACTTTGCATATTATGTCAATTTAAAATCTTATATTCATTTTTTATTCTAAAACATCCTATACAATTAAATTATCTCCAAACTCGTACTTTACAAATATGAACCAAAATAACACCGTCATAAAAATCGACAAATGGTCATACATAATATATCGCAAAAACTAATTATAAATATAATAAAAATGATTGTCATCGACACATTGGATAATTATTTCAATCTATTTAATCCAACTCTATTTATATTAAATTAATTAAACCAGAAATTTAATACTAAAATATCTACTCTTATAGATGAAAATTGATCCATGACAACCTTATGCATGGTCTTATATCTCAAATTGAATGAGACAGTAAGAATGTGTTATCATAGTGAGATAACTAATAAAGAGTCAATTAAATCTAAAGTATGTCATATCAATGTGAATGTATCACGTAGGATTTATGTAACTATATTATATTTTAATACCTGTAAGATTATTTTTTTACATATGATTTATTTATGTCCATTTGTCAAAAAAAAATTTGACGATGTTATTTTAACCTTAATATGCAAAGTGTTTTTAGAGAAAATCTAATTGTACACATTTTTTAGGACAAAAAATAAATACCTGATTTAAATGGTCATAATATGTAAAGTATATGAATTTTTTGGAGATAATATTTTTGCAGAATAAGTATATGATTTAGATGACAATAATATGCAACGGTCGATGATGATAGTTTTTATTAGGAAAAAACTCTTAAAAATTTTCAAATTTGCAATTTGGTGGAAAAATAATTTCTATACTTTTTAGTATATAATCATTCCTAAATTTGAAATAAGTGATTTAATAATTTCTAAAGTTATTTAAAAGTTTCATATTGATCCTTAACGTAAGTTGACCAAAATAATATTGTTATAGAATCCTACATAGTACGTGAGATGTCAAGACACGTCAGAATTTTATACTATATATGCATAACCGAATTTAATAAACTCGGTTTAACAAAATCCGTTCGAACCGGATTTAATAAACTCGTACACAATCGCATGTGTTCACACATATATATCATATCATGTATCGTCATCACATCCCCTCTCTCTCGAACCAATTTTATTAAATCAGTTTTATTATTATTTCGAACCGATTTTATTGTACCGAATTTATTATTATTTCGAACCGATTTTATTAAACCGATTTTATTAAATCTGGTTCTACATACATAGTATACAATTATGACATATCTTGACATTTCAACGCCATATATAAATTTGTAACAATATTATTTTGGTAAACTTATGTTAAGGATCAATATGACACTTTTAAAAAACTTTAAGAATTATTAAATCATTTTTTTCAAGTTTAGAAATAATTAGACACACTAAAAAGTATATAAATTATTTTTCCACCAAACTACAAGTTTGGGTATTTTTATGAGTTTTTTCCTTTTTATTATACGTAGGATTAGTTTTTGCGATATATTATGTATAACTATTTGTCGATTTTTTCACTTTTATTTTTTCCTTTTTATTATACGGTGTTATTTTGTCTATATATATGCAAAGTACAAGAATTTTTCGGAGATAATCTAATTTTACAGGGTTTTTTAGGACAAAAATGAGTATAGGAATTAAATTGTTATATAAAGTATAGAAATTTTTTAGAGATAATCTAATTGTACAAAGTTTTTTTGGATAAAAAATAAGTATATAGTTTAAATTGAGACAAAATAAAAGTGATTATTTATCTAAATTTTAAACATGTCAAGTTTACATTTATTATTAAAATAATAATTTTATTCTTAAAATTTTGATATAGCAAAAAGTAATAAAATCTAAAAATTTGAAAATAAAACTAAATTTAAATTTCCGATTTGATATATTTTGATATTATAATCCTAAATTTAGATTTACAATATTGGCATCATAATGTATATGAACGAATGAACATATACAATATCACACACGTCATGATATGTTTGTTTTATAATCTGTACTTCATTGTTTCACCGTTTTTAACTGATAAGGAGCGGCAATCCATTCTGGTGGGCCGTGGACTCGGAGAAATAAAGGAAGGATACTGGTTTTGGGTTAGGCCTAGGTGCGGGTATTCATACGGGTTTGTTCAGATTTGGTCGTCCAATTATCCATGTTAAGGTGTCAATTTAGATCCGAAGTCCGGTCTAAACCACCTAGAAATATCGGCCTTTGGAGCTAAATTTTCGATTAGAAAAAAATCAGATTCTCGAACTGGGCAGTTCTCAAATCGATGGCGAAAGGGTGAGGAGGCGATTTCGGTTCATTCTCGCCTCGCCTCACCGTTCGTTGCTGTAGCAAAGCACGTTACTTTGCGGCTCACTCTCTCTCTCTCATCGAACTGAGTTCAAAACTCGAATGTTAAACTCAAAAGCTTGCCTTGATTGTCAGAAAAAACCCCCACCAAAATGAAGAAATCAAAGCACCCTTTCATCATCATCATCATCATCATCATCAGATTGTTCAAGTTGTATGCCTTTTTCATATCCATCTTTTCCATATATATATATATATACATATATGTGGTATTTGCAAATGCCAGATGAAATGTGAATACCACCATTGCCATGAATCAACATTCAACAAATGTTGTGTGCACTGATAATAATTGGACTGAGACAACCAGGAAAAGTGAAAAAAAAATGAAGAAGCAGAAGCAGTGGAAAGCAAAAGAAATAAAGAAAGAAAGAAAGGCTAAAGAGGAGAAAGCTTGGCTTTGCTGCAGTGACAAGCAAACAATCAACACTTTGGAAAGAGAGGAGAAGAAAGAACCAATCCACTTTTGTCCATGTGCGCTTTACTACTCTTGATCAAAAAGCATCCAATTCTCTCCTAAAATAAGCTAACACCAGTTTTCCTCCTTCCAATCTGCTTTTTCCCTTCTGAATCACAATCATAACTCTGTTACACTACTCCCTCTCCCTCTCTCTTCACTTTTTTTTTTATAAAAAAAAACAAAGTTCTCTCTTGCTACTCTTTTGCATGTACTCTTCTCTCTAGAGAGGTCAGTGACCATGTGGTGCTGATTCTTAAAATAATGCACACTAGTGTCCACCACCTCTTATATAATCAATCAATCTCCTTGCATGTCTTCTCCATTATGCGAATTTTCCAAAGTATTTCCACAATCCAGCATCTGGGTTTGGCTCCCCTGATGGTATAAGGAACACCCAATTCCACAAAATTTCCTCTTTCATAAGAAACAAAAGAATAAGCCAAACCTAGATGGGTGTCACAGGAGGCCTAGTGAGGAGCATTTTTTCAAGAAGCAGATCATTCGGAGTTCATGAACACAATGTATGTTCGTCTCTGTCAATTTTCTGTTTTTTTTAAGCACAGAAAATGATGAACTTCGATTCCGAATGTGTCAGGGAAGAAGCAATGTAGGAGAGAAGAAGAGATGGAGCTCAGTTAGATCGTACCTGTGCGGAGATGAATTCAATTCTGTTCTTGCCGTGGATGAATCCAAGCGTTTCGATACCGTTTCGACAATGTCTCCACCATTGGATTCAGTTCTTGCTCTCGAGGATTCAGCTTCAGTTAAAACTTTGAATTCGGTTCCCGCCGATGAGGACTCTGCTTCAGTTAAGAGCTCAGAAGAAACAGTTACACAACCTCTACAGGAAGATGTGTCTTTCGGATGTAATGTTGTTCCTGTGAAGAAACATATCGCCGAGAGAGAAGATAACCAAAGTGAAGCAACAGAGACTCACATACCAAAGAAGCATCAGACTCCAATCTCCAAGTTGTTCCGTGAAGAAGATGCCGCAATCATAATTCAGACAGCGTTCAGACATTACCTGGTTAGTGGCCTGTGATCTTGTGCCATACAATTGTTGTTTTGTCCCGTTATGTCCACTTCTTTTATACAGGCTGTGTTCAGGCTACACGTCGAGACAGAGACGTTTTTTCGACGTTGACTAAGGAGGAGAGATTCGCAAGTGCTGATTCTCCAAGCAAAGAATCAATGGGGACATCACTGGAAGTTCAAACAGATCAATCCGTGAAAGCATTCTCTTTCGCTCAGGTGAGAGTATCTGCAAATCAGAGAACAAGGCAGAAAACCAAAACACAGGTTTTGAAGATAAAGGTAAAAAAAAACAGCAATTTCAAGCTTTTCACATATATGGTGCATGGAAAGGGAATTTACAATAAGTAAAAAGATAACGCACCATGTGACAGGAAGACTGGGATGATAGTACCATGAGCAGCAAGATGTCGAAAATGAGGATTCAGAATAGAATCGAAGCAATGACACGAAGGGAGAGAGCACTGGCTTATGCATTTTCACAACAGGTAACACAAACTTAAGAACTTCATCTTTGAAAGAGTTCTACAAGATCCAAAAGAAAGCATTTTTAACGGTGATAAAAAAAATTCCTGTAAAGCTAAGAATTTGCTCAAAGAAAAAGCAAATAGAACGCAACGAGGTTGATCCCAACATTGGTTGGAGCTGGCTAGAACGCTGGATGGCGACCCGTGTGCCAGAGAGCATTTCAGTTGAGCAAGGCCTAACACACAATCAGACAGAAGCGATAACCAGAAATCAAATACTTGTAATGAAGAAGAGACCTTTTGGAGTGGCTGGTGAACTGGAGAGCTGTGCATCCAATGATGTGCCTCTTCAACTGGAAAGCATATCCGAGGCACTAGGAGAAGATAATGAAGACTTGAGGCTGGGAAAGAATAGTCTTAAGGCAACAAGAAACATATCGAAGCGTAAATCTGGGCCAAGTTACCAAATCCACAGAGAATATGTCAAGGTAACAACACCTTGAAATGCTTGAAAGTTGTCATCTTTCACAAGTCATTAAAAGTTGTTTTCTTTTGCAGTCGCAGCTTCAGGCAACAAAGAAGGATCTGCAAAGAGAGACACAGAGAGCCAAGAAATCCAAGAGCACACCATCGGCTGCAAAAGGGAAATCAATGCAAATAAACTTCAACTAAACAGCCGCAGATGAGATTCACCATTACCTGTAGATCTTTCCCATCAAATAACCTCTGTTTCTTGTAGTTTGTGACCTCAAACCTGCAAATAATTTTGTGTAAATCATTTGGAAATCAGATTTGCTATGAAGTTGCACCTGTGACCATGAAGCCAATGGAATTGAAGGAACAAGAACACCTGAAAATAAGTACTAGGGATATGAAAACTGGAAAATAACAATGAAATCCCAAAATACATAAACGGTGCAGTATGTTGACACTCAAATGTTATAACACGACACTGTGATCGCTCAAAAGATAAACTCTCAAATTGGAAAATACAAGCCGGGACAAGTCAATCGATCTTGGCTTAGATCCTATCGATATCTTCGTCCTCAAACTCGACGTAGTCATCAGCTGCGGCATCATCATCTTCATCGAGATCTCCAACGATTCCTTCATTGAGACGGGTATTGTCCGGAAGCTCACCATATGCCTTCAGGAGCCTAGCCTCATCAGACATGTACTTGAGGATGACATCAGCTTTGTCATCCTGGTAATCCCTCAGCCCAACAAGTATGATGTCACCAGCTGCAATCCACACCTTCTTGTGCATCTTACCACGGATATGGCAGAGACGTTTTACACCATCGATGCACATCGCTTCACATCGACCATTACCAAGCATGCGAAGAACTTGTGCATATTCCTGCCCATCTTCCTTGAACACCAGCTCACGCTTTTCATCGTCTGCTTCATTCTTTCCTCTCTTCCTGTTCTTTCCTCCCTTTCCCTTGTTCTTCGGCATGGTTTCTGTGTTTGTTCAAACGGTAACCAATTTTCAGTCCTCAATTGTGGCCTAAATTTGCAAACAAAACAACTAGAGCAGGTCTATATTGTAAGCGAAGAATGTCAAGTTTCATATGTACGTTATATCATTTAACGTCCAAATTTCCCTTCCGATATGACTCAAAAGAATATACCAGTGTTTGAATATACATATCAGATCCTCACATATATTTGTTTTTTTAAAAAAATTGTTAGCTTCCTTGGAACATCAGGCCTAGTTTTGAACGAAAAGGCAAGGTATTAAGATGGTACGGATCAATACCATACAATACAAGAGGTAACACCTAAGCAAGCAATTCCTCAAATAATAACAACAATGTTGGTGTACAAACGGAGGTACTCGCATTTAGGGATTCAGATCACGAGACCAAACCAAATTCTAAGAATCACGTTACCAAACTTCGTAAGAAAGCTCAAGACTTTCAGGCGAATCGCCTGCTATGTGATGAGTCAGAAAACAATATTCGCCTTAATCAATGAAAAAAGAACACAATCGACCATCGGAAATCAAATCTGAACAAAAAGCTTCTGATCAAACAACTCCGGATATTAAGATCAATCATCGATCAAGCCCCACCTCCCCCAACCCTAATTCCACGGCTGCAAACCCTAATCGTAAAACCGATGTATCGACAATCAAACGCATGAGATGGATAGAACCCAATAGAGAGCGAATCTTACCGTTAAGAAGCGATCAACTTCGTATTCTACAGATTAAGGAAAAATCACGACGAGCTTCGAAGCGATAGGATCCACAAATCTCTCCTCGACAAAATCGAACGAATGTTTATAGCAGAAGCGGCTGTCGATTTTTCTCTTAGCTCACAACAAAATAAATCTTTGATGGGTATCCGAAAATACCCTTTGGTTTTGAGATTAATTATCGAAATGCCACCCGTACGGACACAAGCCTTTCTTAAAACCCTTTATCCGATAAACCCAAAAAAAAAAACGGCAAAAAAATGCAACTTTCCGTTCCGATTACGCCCTCTCCGTTTTACCCTTTTGCCCCTCACCGTGTCGTACCGCCGGTGACTCACCAACTGGCCCATCAGGTGCAGACCCAGCGCGGCAATTCCGTGAATACGGCGAAAGTCTCGGGGTATTTCTCGTCGATAAGCCGAGCCATCGAGGAGGAGGAGGAGTATCGGAAGGCTCGAGCCGCGGTGAACCGTAAAGGCGTCGACTTGGAGGGTTACTTAGTAGAGGGCGTTTCCATTGGAGGCCAAGAGACCTGCGTCATCGTCCCCGAGCTCAAATGCGCCTTTGACATCGGGAGGTGTCCTTCACGCGCCATTCAGCAGAAGTTCCTGTTCATCACTCACGCCCATCTCGACCACATCGTGGGCTCTCTCTCTCTCTCTCTCTCTCTCTCTCTGAGCTCTATGATTGTTTGGTGGGATAAGGATCAGATATGGCTAAGTTGATGCAAATTGTTTGGTGGGCACTTGGATAACCGGCCAAAGTTTTCTCCGTTCTTGTTTTTCTGGATGGAAATTTTCCTGAAGTGTTGATTCTGTTCGTTTTCTGAACGAATCCGGGCTTTTAGCAGTACCAGATGAGATTTTTTTTTTCTGGTTACTGTGAAGTTGGGGTTGTCTACTTTGAATCTGACGTCACTTGTGTATTTGTTAGCTGATCTTGTCTGTGTCCACTTTCTTAGGGTGGACTGCCAATGTATGTAGCTAGTCGCGGTTTGTACAATCTTGAGCCTCCTAAAGTTTTCGTGCCGCCATCCATTTTAGAGGATGTGGAGAACCTCATAGAAATTCACAGGTCCATGGGTCAAGTAGAGCTCAACCTTGAACTGATTCCACTGGATATAGGTATGGATATTGGATATAGAGAAAGCTTTAATCTCCAGTTTCAAATGAATCAAAACTTTAACTCTTTAGATGCTGAGTCCGATGGCTACAGGTGACACTTACGAGTTGCGGAATGACATTGTTGTGAGACCATTTAGAACTAACCATGTAATACCGAGCCAGGTAATCATTTCCCGTGTTTCCAAGATTTTGTGAACTCTGCATATGAATGTCTGTCCTAAGATGTCGGTCTTTCAATCTTTTGTTATGTATCTAGCAATCTAGAATAACGGATGGCCTAATCATTGATCAGGGATACGTGGTTTACTCAATTAGGAAGAAGCTGAAAAAGCAGTATGCTCATCTCAAAGGCAAGCAAATAGAGAAGATAAAGAAATCTGGCGTTGAGGTTTGTTGTTTTAGTCAAATCATCATCAATTAGGTTTGGAACGAATTTATCATCGAGTCCGTTGGATTGTTCATAAAACTTCGAAATTTACAGATTACGGACACTATATTATCCCCTGAGATTGCATTCACCGGAGATACAACTGCAGAATATATGCTTGATCCTCGCAATGCTGATGCTTTGAGGGCGAAAATTCTTATAACCGAGGTACTTTCTGCCTATTGATTCACCATAACGAGGATTCATTCTGGCTTGAATTTTCTTCTATTAACATTTTACTTGACAGGCAACGTTCTTGGATGAAGGATTTAGCATTGAACATGCCCAGAAACACGGGCATACTCATTTATCTCAGGTGGTACCTTAGGTTATATTCTAAATTCTGCGGAGATATCAAACACTAGAACTCCATTCTAAGAAGTTTCTGTGTAAATAAACTTTGCAGCTTGTTGAGAATGCAAAGTGGATAAGGAGCAAAGCTATATTATTAACACATTTCTCTTCGCGGTACCATATAGAGGTGATTCTCAGATCCGAGTTCATGTTTTCACTCAAACCGAAAAGCTGAATTCTCGCATTTTCTTTGTCAAAGAATCATCATCCGTTCTTTCTGATCAATGAAAATATTACCCATCAGAGTTTGGCTCTTTATAGCATATTATCTGACAATCTGTTTCTGCTGCTTACAATGGCAGGAAATTCGTGAAGCTACGCTGAAGTTGCAGTCAAAGGTATCGGGGAAAGTCGTTGCTCTTACAGAGGGGTTCAGGTCGAGATATTCGTGAAAGCGAGAGATGGAGTCGGGACATGTAGTAACATCTTTATCTGTAACTTGGTACGAAGGTTGTTCCTCTTATAGAAGGGCTCAGGTCTGAGTATTCATGGATTGAGGGACAGAGTAGGTACTTTTTTTAGTTCTGTTTCTTCTTCTTCTTCTTCCTTTTTTTTTGTTTTTTTGCTTGGGTTAGAACGCTACATGAAAGCTTCAATATATATATTCGTTTAGAGAATCTAGCAAATACTGGAAACCCATCGGCAGAGAAACTCAGGAAGACAGGAACAGCATATAAAGTTTGTGTATACAGATTTGCAGCTTGTGGAACATGTCAAGCTGATTTGTCTGATCATAGTTCATGTTCTCACTCTTACAACAAAGCTAACATCTGACACTTTTTGCTGTCGGAGGATCATCATCTGTTCTTCCTGATCAACAAACATATTAGATTACCCAGCACCAGAGTTTGGCTCTTGCAGTGTATATATAATCATGTTTCTCTTCTCAATGGCAGGAAAATTTCGCAAAGCTACAATTTTGTTGCAATCCACGGTGTCGGTGTTTCGGTGTTGAGTGTAGTTTGATGGAACAGAAGAAATATTAGATCAAAATTTTCGCCATGAAAACAATTCAAGCCTGCAATGACCTCAGTGTGTTTGCAAACTTCTAGACAGAAGTGAAGAGTAGAGAAGCATTTGTCCCTCCAAAGCCGAAAGAGTTTGACATGGATGTCTTAATGGGCATCTCTCTTGAAGCGGTTAATGGCATGAAAGCCCCGTCGAACAAGGGATCAGGCTTCTTCACGTTCAGCGTCGGAGGAGCAACACCCTGCACGTTTTAAGCAACGTCGATTGATGAACCCTAAACCCGAGTATCGAAAAAAGGATATTGAAAGAAAGATTTGGTTACATAATGCAAGGCCAGGATGCTGAAAATGGCCTCAACAGCTCCAGCTGCTCCAAGAAGATGCCCGGTAGCTCCCTACAGTCAAGAGAAGAAAAAACTCGAGGGAATCAAGTAGACTAGAAAAAGGGTTTACCTAGAAACATCATTATATAGGACAGATATCGTAAAATCGTTTGCGTATCCCACAAATTTCAAGTTCTTCATTGACATTGTTTTGAGTAGAAAAGCTCTGGGGCTTTTTTACCTTTGTGGAAGAGAAGGCCAAGGTGCCTGAAGTAGCATGTTCAGAGAAAAGGGTTAAGATAGCTTTGGCTTCCACTGCATCTCCTGCAACATCAAGATTCAAAAGGTAGAAACAATACAACTGAACTGAATCATTGATTCAATCTCATGACCAGAACCAACTCAAACATGTCTGTCTTATTACCAAGTGGGGTGGATGTTGCATGTGCGTTTATGTAATCAACCTGGCTTGGTCGCAAACCAGACTGCAGAAGCGAAGAACAAACGACCGAATCATTAAAATTCTCCGACAGAATCGCAGAAGGTTTCCATAAACTATAGATTTGAACTCGGAGATGATCAATGAAAGATGATTATATGAAGTCTACCTGTTTTAAAGCCCGAGTCATAGCTAAAATGGCTCCCTTTCCATCTTCAGAAGGTTGAGTAATATGATGTGCATCACCTAAATATCAGTGATATTTCATTATCAGGGAACTCCGGTTTCTAGATAAGAAAACAGACTTCTGTATTTTAAAACATCTCTGAACTTGAACCTGACATTCCGTAGCCACAAAGCTCGGCATAAATTTTTGCACCACGTCTTTTTGCATGCTCAAACTCCTTTTATTTTAACCGGAAATCGCGAAAAAAGATTCAATATTAGAGTAAATACAACAAGAGATTAGAACTGAAGAGTTTACATAAGAAAGATGTCTTCATTCTTAAAAACTCACCTCTAATACTAAAATGCCCGAACCCTCCCCTATCCTGCAACCATAGCAAAGGAGGGAATTAAGATCACCATAGAGGTTTTCTGCCCGACCCATAAAGAACTTGACTCACACAAAACCATCTCGGTCACAATCAAAAGGCCGTGAAGCTTCTTGAGGGGAAGAATTGTACTTAGTTGTCAGAGCCCTTAACCTGGAAAACCAAAGAACAAGCTGTTCAATAAATCTCAGCTTCATTATATCCAAAATGCTTGCTTCAAGAATAACTTGTTGAAATTTGCAGCATGCTTGACACTAGAGCATGTAACACTTGTCTTATTGTCTAGTAGAGTAGGGTTTTTTCAATACGGACAGTGAATGTGCGAAAATGCATCAATTACCTGCAGAATCCTGCAATGGATAAAGCATCAATGCTGGACTCAGTCCCACCGGCCACCATGACATCTGCATCTCCAAACTGAATCATCCTTGCGGCATCGCCTATAGAATGTGCACCAGTAGCACAAGCTGTCACAGCAGCATGGTTTGGGCCCTGCATTCAAAAGCATAGCAAAACAATGCAAACGGTATTCTACGTAAAAATTTAAGCAATGATCTAGATATATTATGGAATTGAAAAGAAGGACATGATGGCTGAGTCGTATATGTACAATAATCCTAATGGTGAGCTAGAATCACTATGCCATGACTAAGGACTTGCCCCCATGTTTGGAGTTCTTTCTTTCTTTCCTAAACAAACCCAAAAGAAACTAAGTCAAGTTGCACGAGATAATCCCTATGCTAGGATCGGAAAGGCAACTACCACTTTGTTCTTTTATCACTTCAATATTTTTAATCCGTGATTGGATTTGAAAGCCAAGACTAATGCTATCGAGTACATTCAGATGTTCATAATCTGTTTCTATGAAAAGAAAGGAAAACTTGAACACACCTGGAAACCATACTTCATGCTCACATGACCTGATGCCATGTTCACCAATATTCTCGGAATGAAATACGGGCTAAGTCGTCTCAGCCTCTACATCACAATACCATTACATTTTGAAATCAGCAGGCATGCCAGCTT